ATGAAGAAAGAGGAAAAGAGAGCCCAAGTATCCCACCAGGGGGTAAAACTAGGATCCAACCTAGGCCGCGTGCATCTGGCCCTGCAGTCTTGCACAAGAGCCTCGTATTCCAGAGGACCAGGGCGCCGGCCGCCTGCGCATGCCACGCATCACGGTCACGTGGGCAGAGTGATGGGTGAAATAGCTCGCTGCTGGTCGGTGTGTCTCGTAGGCAGTCAGCGGCTCGCAAGAGCAGAAGCCATTCGTGCTCCATGAGAGGTAACAGCCCTGGACCTGCAGGAGAAGGAAGGTTCTTTTTCTTTCTCTTGCTCTCTTTCTCTCCCTTTTCCCCCTCCCCCTCACTCTCCAAGTCCTTTTTAGTACAAATAAAGCCATGTCATTTTGTGATCTCAGAATGTGGAGGTCAGCGTTTCGTCAGCTGTGTGTGGGGTGACACTCTGGAGCTGATGCAGCTGCCCAGGCAGCGTGTCACACACTCGGTCCAAGATGGCAGAGGGGCAGGACAGCAGTGATGCTTAGTTGTGGTATCCACAGGACTCAGTTCCATGACCCCCTTCCCCCTGTGTACCCAAACCCTGACTCTTGGGCTCTCTGTGTATAATGGTGTGTGTCTGTGTGTGGCCCCTGCCTAGTGCCCTGCGATTTCAGCCCTCTCCGAATGATTCCGACCCCACTCCCCGCACCATGTGAACACCGTGCAAATAGTTACCACACTGAGCATTGCGGAACAGTGACAAGGGGAGTCTATGCACTCGTTCAGTAAGGACAAGAGACTTTTCAAAGCCCGTGAACACAGGGGCTGACTGCTTAGTTTGGGGGAAGAGCCGGTCTTCCCTTGGGAGGGTGTGCGAAGTCCACCTTCCACGACAAGCAGAGAGCCTGTGGATAGACAGCACCATGTCCCCTGCCTCCCCTTACAAAGGGCCTGGTAGGCTCCTCCTCGGGGCAGGAAATACTGGGAGGCCAGGCACACTGATGGGGAGGAGAGGGGAGAGTTTGGTTCACAGTGCAGGGAGGGGGCAGTGTGGTGGGGTGGGAGATGCGGGAGAGCAGGAACTTCAGAGAATAAAATCTGTCAAAAGCGGATAGGAGGCCAGGGGGATGGCTCAGTAGAATAAGTGCTTTCCTGGCAAGAGTGAGGGCCTGAGTTCAATACCCGGTTCTGCCAAAAAAAAAAAAAAAAGCCAACAGGAAGAGGGAAGTGACTCTGAGTCAAGCCTCCTCCTCTATTTGAGGACCCTAGGGAATCTGAGGGCGGATTCCTCTGAAAGTCTGGAGAGAGGAACTTGAACTACTTTCATTCTTCAGAGGGGGACTGCTGTACCTGGGGCGCCGGAGACACTCATTAGAATGCTGGAAATGCAGACCTGGAGCTCCAGGGAAGAGCTGCAGTTAGATCCCCATACTCCGGAAGCTGAGGCAGGAAGACTGCAAGTTGAAGTCCCACCTAGGCAAGCAACTGAGTGACACTCTATCTCAAAATAAGAATAAAATAGGCTAGGAATATAATTCATTGCTAAAGTGCTGGGTACAATCCCTGGTACTACATGTACACACACACATGCATGTACACATGCACACAAAGTTGTGGTTACAGGTAAAGATGTGGGAGCTAAGCAGTAGATGTGTTGTGAATCCGAATACCAAGGGCAGCAGAAAGAAGAAGCTAGGGAGGAGCTCTCAGGACATGGTCAAGACAAAATCTCGGGGATGGGGATGCAGCACAGTGGCTGAGTAAGTGTGCCAGGCTCTGGGTTGTCTCCAGCACTAAAAAGAAAAGAAAAGAAAGACCAGCAACAATAACAACAAAACCCTAAAAATCTCAGAAAGAAGAAGTAGCATAAAAGGTAGTCACAAGGTAAGATGAGAATTAGGAGAGGGGCCAGTGAGATAGTTCAACAGTCTAAAACCCCTGCTTAGGCAAGCTTAGGCAAGCGCAGGGACTGAGGTTTGATCCCCGGCACCACATACTGTGCCAGCCCCACCTCCAGGGCAGGCTGAGCCAGCCACAAAAAA